ATTGGTGGACGATGTTTGTAAATTGATAAGTGTTTGTTCATCGAAGGAACCATCATTGCTTTCGGTCCTGGAACTTAAAAATTGACTTACAACAACCTTATTCTTTAAAAAATTAATTTTTTTACTTGTTTTTCCCTTCAAATTAGAGACGTGCATCACGTGCATGTAATCTTTTCTAATAATAATCCTCAGGAAGGTAATTCTCAACCTATCTCTTAAAGATGTCATGGTAAAGTTTGTTTCGCGCGTAGTGCAATTGCACACAACATTGCAAGTCCAAGTAATGGCGAGGGCCCTGACGCGATCAGATGTTCCTCCGGGTAAGAATGCGGTGAAAAACTAATCAGCGAAGTTCTCCTTCAGCAGTACAACCTAATCTTCTCAGTAATTAATTAGTAACCCAATTTCATAATTTTACGCGGAATAAGAGCCAGTTGATTTCTGACAACTGCTATGCACTATTGGATTTGAGTTTTGTACAAAAATAGCCGTTTATCATGCTTGCCCCAAAGAAACAGTAAAAAACAGAGAAATACATTAGATACATTGCATCATATTTTACAAGGAAAATTGCTGTAATATTTTTCAAGGTGTTAGTGCAATGCACTTAATGTTTCCTTTTTTTCCGCTTGTGAAAGCAGCAAGAGTATACCTTTTAATAGACAACTATGAAATTTTCCCAATTTTCACGTACTCGTCCTTAATAGCCTTTTAAGTAATGGAAAAATGCTATCTTCTAGTTTTTTCTGCGCTGAAAAATGTACACTTTGCCCTTTTCCCTGGCTTCTATTTTTGTAAGTCATGAGTCAAATAAATTGTATAAGAACTCACCTTTGTAATGTTTTCTTGTTGTGTTTTTCTCGAAACATGGTGTATGAATCGGCATACAGGGGCCAAATTTTGCTGTCATTCGCTTCTTTGGGAACAATGAGCGTTTAGGTGGCGGACGGGGTAAGATGAATTTGAAGTCTAAATCTAAAAATTTTGCTTTTTTAAAAGTTTTACTTGATAAAAGGTTTGATGTTATACTAACAGGGCAAGTTCTAATTGGTTTCAAGTCAAAAGACAATCAGTAATCAGCTTCTGAACGTAACCCCTGCTTCTTTACCCAATTTTATATACGCGCCCCTCCTGCTATTCCTCAACTACGGTAGCTACAGTAGCCTTAGGCGACCAATCACAGATGCTGGGCTTAATAAAGTGTACACAAACCCACGTTACCCTATTTTTCTAAGTAGTTCAATCGATATTTCAATTTCAGGTCAAGCAGAACTTCTGACTTATACTGGACTAAATTTTACTTGTATTCTGTGCCAATGCACACCATGCACCAATACGAGATTTTAAGTCAGATGGCTTAACGCGGTCCTCTTAGCACTTACACACTTTTGGGCAACTAAACCTTTTATGAAGTAGAAGTTGGCCCTACCATGATTAAGAGTGGCGCGTGACAAGCAAAAATGAAGGGAGAGAGGGAGGTGAGGCTGAGGTGGGTGAAATAACACAGAATTTACACCCACCCATTTTCCCGCCCCCGGTCGCCAAATATGCTTTCGCAGTTTTTAGCTTCTGTAAATTTTTGATCGAGGCAGTTAAGATTTGAAAATGTGGGGGAAGTAGAAGTGGATGGGAAGGGTTATTGGCCAAAAATCGCGCTTAACCCTACTTATCATTGCTTAACTTCCCCCTGGTAAATGTGTACTTTTTTTGAAGAAAAATCTACATATTCGGAGTCCCACTTTCAAATACAACATATGAACTATACCTTTCTTGATT